AACCACTATGTAATGTATCAGTTCATAGGCTTTACGTACATACGCCAATAAAGTTGATTGTTTTATTCAAAGTGTTTGTTTTAGAGCAAAGCCACATTGGGCTATTTACTGTGTCTACCGAGGGGAATCGAACCCCGGATTTTAGCATTGTAAGTCCGTAAACTTCCCGTTGTCCCACAGGTAAATGATTATACTATTACTTTTTACCTGGGATGGGTTTCTGCAACACTACATTAAGAACTATATTGTGACGATTTACTTAGGATTGGCTTTCTACAATATTGCATTACATTTTTATCCTTTGCTAAGTAATTAATTTGAAAAACACTATATAAGCACTTGAACGAAATTTTATTACAACTGTAAAAATCCAAGATGTAAAAGTACAAAATACCAATTTAATAGGTAACATCAATGTTCCAAAAACAAAAAACTTATACGAAATTGTTAACATATCACCACTAAACAACTTACACCCCCAGAAATCCGCCTTTTCAAAAAATACACATTAAAACATTTCGTGAAAAGTCTACTTTTAAACCGCTTTAACATATTTTCATGCACATAAATTAAGAAAACATAGTATTGTGAAAGTTTAATTTTCAAGCACACAGAAAATTTATGAGATTTTGATTACTTCTGAAACTATTGCTATTACTTACGATATGTTCAGTGAAATGTAATCATTTAAAGATCCATACCTCAGTGATTTTTTATTTCAGCTTTTCTATTTAGTTTCGTATATCTGTGATAAGAGCTTTGTTTTAAGGTTTGAACTTCGTGTTATTTAAACTAAAGTTCAAGAGTTTCCATTTAATGATTTTTTTCTTTGCTTTTAATCAAAATACTGTGATTTTCATTTTTCATCTATACTTCAAAATATTATTTATAATCTACAGACATCATGAAACTTCAAATAACTCTAAACAACAAAAAATAACGTTATGATTGAGATAAAATATTATATTAAACTATTAACTTTTAATAACGTGAAAAAAAAACACAAGTTTGAGTCTCTGAAAACAGAATAACAACTGGTGGTTTAAAGTTGTTAATGAACCCAGGAAATGGGAAATAACTGTCTTTCCTTGTACGTTATCCATACAATAATTATAATATTCAACTGTTAGCACGACAGTCTTTGGTCGAACAATCGAATTATATAGATCGTTCGAAATTAATTATAATTAAAATAACTACTTCTCGGAGATCCAGTTCTCTGGGTGTTCAAAATGCAGGGTTTTAGCACTCTCCATATTAGGTGAATGAGTATTTAAATTATGATATGCTATCAAAATATTTACAACTCTGAAATGCATCGTTATTTTAGCATGATGTCAGTTGGCATGTGATCGTAAAGTTAATGCTTTTGTACAAATATACACCATCGAACTTGAAACATGTTACACTGACTGCTTTCGCGATAACCAAATCTCTTCTTCACTGTTGTACGAACTTTGTAATGATGATGACACGCTTGAGGAATATGTGGATGATCTTGAATTCATCCAATCATATTCTTCACTGTGAAGGTCTGATGACTTCAGAGACATCTGGTGCACAGGCTCATCAGCAGGACACTCTGTGACGTCACCTGAGAATAGATGAACATCAGAAAAAGCCGGATTGAAACCCAAGGATTTCAGGTGTGACGTACGCATGCGTAAGCTACCAGTCACCGGAAGTGAGATTCGTCTTGTGGTGGTAGAGTAAGCAACATCACTCTTCCGGTTAGTTGTTAGAGGTGGTGTGACATCTACTGAAGAGTTTTCGTCAATGCTCAAACATAAACTTTCCACACTTAGTTCTAAATCACTATTGTTTAGTACACGAGAGGTCCTCTTGGAAGTTATAGGCAGAAATGGTGTTCTCCTCCTGCATCTTTTCTCTGGCAATAACGTAATTGTAGGACAGCTTTGACGAAAAAGCTGCTCTTTTGTGAAACGGGAATTTCCGTCCTGCTCTTGGGTAATAACCGTGTCAGCGGGAATGGTGCATTTTTCTGTTTTCAACTTCAATTGCTCCATGCCAGGTAACCTGGGATTTTTCATCTCAGCCAGAATTTTTGTTTTTTTAATATCCACTACCTACACAGTCTAAAGATCCTATAAAATGAAGAAACACTTATAAAAGTCTTATATTGTTATCATATTAAAATATATTTTATCTAAACACTAGAAAAAAAAATCAATTACGTGTATAATGACTGGTATTCATAAGCTAACGCCCACCAGGTGGCACGACAAGAATAATTCAGATATGTACAGCAAATGGTATTAAATGAACATCTATTACAGCGGTAAGCAAAGTTGTCCAGTTTTGTTTCTAAGGTAGTTGTTGGTTTTTTTAACTCAATTTTTTTCTAAAAAGAGCTCGCAACGATTAGACGTCTCATCCGGTTAGGGTTATCTTTTACGAAAGAACCGGAACCAACGAAACGATCTGCTCTAACGCACAATGTACTGCTTTTCGTAAATACAAAACCTTTTAATAGGCACCACTGTAAGAGACGTAATAGAGCGATTCTTGGGAGCGTTTTGTTAACTGCGCAAACATTCAGTTACAAATAGCTGTTTATTCTAGTTACACAGCACTTTCTTTTGTAACTCAGATTGTGTATCTGCTAAATATACACTCCACGACTGAAAACTGTCACTTTTCATTTTATTTTTTAGAATAAGATTTAAATTGTATGTAAAAATCATATAAGCTAAAACAAATATTACAGAAAATTGTATAAAAAGTGTTTGAAACTTGGTATAACCACCTTCTCTACTCTTGACATTCAGCAATCCGAAACACTACAGATGCTACAAAAGCACTATATTGCTATATGGCAGTAGGATAATAGAATTATTTATAAGCATCATGTTTTTATCGTCGTTTTATCAATAGAGTATTACCCTTTCTTTCATCGGCTTACTAGCATAAAGCAGATCGTAAAGTGTGATTTTATTTATAAACGTTAAGGAAATGAAAACAACACTTTTCAAAATAAAACGAAAGAGAATTAAACACCTCATAAGCACACAATAAATAACATCAACTTAGAGAGTAACAAACAAATTTCCGACCAAGCCTTGTCCACCAATAAAATTGTTTTCTTGAATGGATAAACTACTGACTTTATATCAGACATGTTTAACTAGCTAACATATTCTTTGTTCCTAATAAGAATAACTAATATTTAAAATGCATGCCTATCTCTTCGTAGCTTCACGAAAGGATCGTTTAACATTAGGGTAAATACATCCCACAGTTACATGCCCCAAATTTGTGTCAAAAGTATATAATTATTCGTTTTTGACTAATAGGCTAATATAATAAAATGTTAATTTTAGAATGTAGATATATTATTGTTCGTAATCATATGTTAACCTAGCTAACATATAACACGAAATAGATAATTCGTGAGTCAATTCTTTTAGACCCACAGTAGCTCATTGGCATATTTATGGAGTTAAATGCTAAAAATGGGGTTTCGATACTCGTGGTGACCACAGCACATATAGTAAGTCCATTGTGTTTAACAACAACCGAAAACAATTATTCTTACTACTGGTATAACGTCTAATATAGATTTCACCACGTGATAATAATCTATACTTTCAGTTAACGCTGTTTTTACGTGAATTACCTATAAATATTTGTGATTATTTTTGTTCTCTTCTAGACGCCCTACAATCTGCGATTGTATCATACGTTCTCCTTTACCTCTCAGTACACACTACAAACAAGTGATAAACGTCCACATTACAAATGTACGACGTCTAATGAAAATGTAAAAAATACCATTCATATCACTGCACCATTTGTTTTCAGAGCAGACAAAATGAAGCCCTACTTTCATTTCATCTTGAACTCGTCACTAGCTTCCTCTACTTAGGATAGGCTGAAACTAAACAACAAAGGCATACATTGATATCCAAACTTGAATGTGTAAAGTTGCCATAATAATAGTTTTACGTAGCTGTGTTTTATGTCAAGGTCTGACTCCCTAATGGAAAAAAAAGTTGTTTTTTTTATTATTGAGTTGATATGTAGTTGTAACTGTATAATTATCTAGGCATAAAGGAAACCTTGGAGAGAACAAGAGCAAACTGTCAGTACAACCATCTAGTTGTCCAACAAATATTTGAGAAAAAAAAAAACTGCTTTAACATTAAACAACCTCACCGAGAGATAACTTGGAAGAACATCCATCCACCCATGGTGACCAGAAGCCGTAGAGAAAACTTTGTTAAGATTATACATTAAAACAGGGAGATCTAGTTTAACAACTTGAAAGAACACTCATCCACGGTGTCAAGATGATGTGGAGAAAACTCTTAGTATTAAACAACATATCAGAGACATCCAGGTTAACAACTTGGAAGAACATCCGGTCACCATGGTGGATAAAAAGACGTAGAGAAAACTTTGTTAAGATTATACATTAAAACAGAGAGATCTAGTTTAACAACTTGAAAGAACACTCATCCATGGTGTCAAGAAGATGTGGAAAAAAACTCTTAGTATTAAACAACATATCAGAGAAATCCAGGTTAACAACTTGGAAGAACATCCATCCATGGTGACCAGAAGACGTAGAGAAAACTGTGTTAGGATTTTAAGTTAACGAACGAGAAAGAGCTAACTACAAAACCTGATAGTACATCCATTGAGGTATATAGAAGAGTTGCAGGAAACTATGTTAAGATCGTAAAATCAAGAAAGAAAAAAAGCTAGCTTAACAAGCTTCCAATAAGTTGTTTAGAAATCTGTACAGTACAAAAACAGTATTTCAATGTTCGAAAATGGTTGGAAGAAATTTCGTTAGGACTATGAAAAAGACAAAAAGAGAGCTTTATAAATACGAAAGCATGACGCACTGGCCTAACAGAGACAAAACAAGAACTAGTCTTAGAGTAAGAAACTATACTCAAAATCGCCTAAAACATTAAATTAAAACGACCTAACCTACTTTATCTGCAGCATACCCTTTAAAAACTTCGATTTGAAATAACACATTAGTCTTAAACAAGGCAGGAAAATATGAATTCACAGATCTACTCATTCCTTCACTATTACTCATACAGTCAATAGTAAACAAACTAGCTATCCATATTACTTTACTTAAGTTAGTTTTGATAAACAAGAAGGGGTTTAATGTCGCTCTCTGACGATTCACTCGACAAACAGGCGTCAATACAATTAATAATATTGATGTAATCTGAATAAATACAGATACAAGTTTTATTCACCCTTGAACTAATCCTAACATCCGCCTGACCTAAGTTCACCACCCACATGTTGTTAAGTTTTGGTTTCATGGATAGATCCGTCGTTACATAAAGACAGCTTTGATAACAAAAACATGATGATTTCTAATTTTTGAAGTCCGTGATTGATTAACGCTAAGTTCTTGTTATGAAGGATGCTGTCCTATTTTCATCAAAATATCAGATTGATTCCTTTTGCCGCGGCTAAGATCACAAGTAGAAACAGATGCCACGTAATCGTAAATGTACGTGTTAATATTTCTTAATGACTAGTCAATGCATTTTACCCTAGATGGCGCCATGAAATATTATGTTGGATTATGTTATGAACATACAATCTATATCTTTAAGCAAAAGAAATAACAATGAAGATTTTGGTCTTCCGCTGTTTTCTTTATCTCATAATGGACAATGGAATTGCCACAACCTCATCAATACACTTATTATTCCAATGAACTAAGAAACAGTTAAGACATTATTTCTACAGAAAATTAGAAATGAATATTTAAATATTATTATTAACGAAATGAAACATTTTTATGACTACTGATCAAACATGGAATAGCCCATGAATGAGTTTTTTTTAACGATTTGACTATTCCACAAGAATCTGTAAACAAAAACTTACTCCACACTACCTCCACATGAGAAGCTGCATTCGAAAATTAAAGATATCTTTTTCCTCTAAATGAGAAGCGGTAAACAAATACTGACTTATATTCTAACTCTTCCCTACCTTCGATTATCTGTAAACAAAAATTGTCCTTGTTCTTTACCTTCTCACTTTAGCATTTTAATATTAACTTTATCTGTTAACTATCGGTTAACAGATGACTTTGTTTTTTCGTCGTTCGATTTTGTTCCTCATATTGCTATGTTCTTCCTCTTGCGTAATTTCAATGATAACTTCTCCTCTGATTTATCGCGTAAGAAATTCATTTAAAAAACTAAATGTATTGATTCTCTTTGCATGATTGGACGTTATGACTTTTATTTTAAAAAAGCAGATTTTATTAATAACACCATTTTAAATTTACATTTGCATTAAGAAAGTACTTAATTCCTACTGTAATTATCCGAACCATACTAAGACGAGTTAAGTGATGTTAAGATGAGAAATGTGGTTTCTGTGATGTTCAGTAGTATAAGTTTATCTACCTAGTGAACGTTTTCTATGGTCTTCTCGATTTCTTTCGCTCGTGAATAACGGCTAGGTTTACATCTATGGTATTACAGCACTTTCTTGAGTTATTTTTTTTTGGTATTGCATAGATACACAGTGACATCTAGAGTTACAAACTATGAAAATGAATATTACAGCAATTTCTTGACTTATTTTTTGGTATTTTTTCCACATGCATAGATACACAGTGACATCTAGAGTTACAAACTAAAAAAATACATCTGTATATCCATTCACAACAGTTTCTTTAAAGGCTTACCTTTTCTCCACTGGGTAAACAAATTTGCCTCGGTTAGAAAACGAACAAACTCAAATTATTCAAATTTTTACACAAACCCTGACGACCAGGAATACCAAAACCCTTAATGAGAACAGTTGTACACTCTCGCCCCTCTACTTATCGAGTAACTCATAGCTTTCACCTGTTGACAGAATGCGTGGAATGTAGACACTCACACTGGACAAACCACTTTGTAAGATTTCGCCTGCCTACATGTAGCACAGGAAGTAAAGAAGACGCCGAAAGCATGACGTCATATCTGATGATGTCATTCGGTTTTTTAGACATCTGTTGCCTAATCAAAAGGCATCACCGAACAATGTATATAATTTACTGTTAAATAGCACTCCGCAATAATTCTAATTAGCACAACATACAACGAAGAAACAAATAACTATACAATAAAGGAAGACTTCCAAGAAAAGTTATGATGAGCAAGTTAACCCACTATTGTTGTTGTTGTGTATAATATAGTTATCATGAAATTTTGTAGTATTCTGCGTCATTATTAAATTTCTTAATATTTGTTTTATAAACCATGAATTTATAATTATTATATTTTCCTGACATGACAGAACAAAAAATACTAAATGTAGTAGTTTTCACATAACTTTAAAAAAGACGCATTACGCAGGGGGGCGGGTAAAGATGGGGTGTTTCCTGGGGTTGAAGCCACCCAAAACATTCCTATAGTACTCGCACCCAACGAACAGTACTTATGGTTTAAAATGTTCCGCTTCCGAATATATCACAATGCGTGTGCCCACAAGAGGTAGAATGCAGCCCCTCAATTTTTTGTCTCTCCATCCCCCGCCCGCCCCACCAGCCAATTCATTGGGAAGACCTGGTGCTGCCTCTGATATTCCGCATAAGCAACAAAACTTACGTTGATAATACTCTTTATAACATGAGATATAACAATGTTTAATTTGTGAGACGTATTTGTCTTGAATATTTCCTGGCTGTAAAGAACGTTTTTATCGTTTGTTTTTATAACTAATATAATTAGTCATTTTGTAAATATAATACAGATATAAGCTAACGATCGTGCGTTACTCTTTCGTGCAGGCTATATACTGAAAAACGCTTCTTTTACACTTTCGGAATGGTTTAAGTTTAAATTTCAAAATATTTCATTTCAAAGTGTAAATGTATTTCCAGCTAGTAACTTTCCGCAGCGCTGACTATTCAACCCAACAGTTGTCGTTATTTGTGAGACATAAAATTGCATTTTGAGATCTTTCAATAAATCAATAATTCCTAGCTTTTAGATATAATTAATATTTTATTCCAACCTGTTAAAACTGGTTTTTGAAATAAATATCAACAATTTGAAATGAATTCAAGGTTTGTACTATTAGTTACGGTATGTGTTTCAGTGGAAGGTTCCTGAAGAAGGTATAAAGTGAAACATTGAATGTCCAATTACAGAAGAAGAAAAAATTGGTGTTTTAAGGTTGTTTATTACTAAAATTAAGATGTATTTGTATTCCAATTTGCACTACAAAAATTGAGTGATAAGAGTTAGCAGTAGCTCAACAAAACGACGTTGTACCCAACTAAATAATATATTAGTGGATCAACATTACGACAAAATTACTAACCAATAAAAACAATAGTAGCACAACAATATGGCAATATCCAAACACCCAATTACTAAAGTAGTAGTAGTAACCGAACAATAGAATTCTAAAACACAACATGATACTTCACTAATTAAGATAGCAGTAAGTAACAATGAGACAAAATTCACAGCCGATAATGTTAGTAGTACTTCAACAATTTACAAGTACACTTGTAATAAAGATACAATATACAAATAAAATTGTAATAAAATTATATGTATCTCAAAAATATACAAAATCAGTTAAAATAAAAACAGTTCTACCTAACAATACAATAATACACGGACACGTCTGACATAAACATAGCTGTGTCTCAACAGTAATACACAAATAACCTTAGAAATTGTCGTTTACCTCAGTCACAATAAAATCTTAATACAAAAACGTGTCGAATCATTGATAAACATATATAAAAATAAATATATATTTATACATTTTTTTAATTGCGTTTACTAATATCATATTAACATAAAATATTACTGCAATGTGTATATGTCAACACATGCGGAAGGAAGCTGAACCAACCTTTTATATGTATAAAATGGCTAACCCTTCCTAAATTCTTGGAAGTCCCTCCTGTACTTATGGCGTCATACTTCATTACCAGCAATATTTAGCGCTACCTCTTTTTTTGTTTTTTCCGGTGATACATTTGTTGGTTCTTTTTCCTTTTTCATGAGAAGAAGAAAAACACGTATAGTTTTTCTCTTCGCCTATTACTTATGTTGTTACTAGGTTTTTAAACTTTGAGATTTTTCTTAGATATGGTTGACTTTCTTGAACTATTACTATTAAATGAAGAATACGATAAATGCCTCGAAACTGAACATTTACTTTGTTTGCATGAAAAAAAAAAATGTTTCGTCAGATGAACCATTTAACCCAGGACGATTTGAGAAACTACTTTCGTAAAATAATAAATAAAAAAAAATACACAACGAGCATGTTTTAATGATGTAAAAAAATACGTGACAAGTTTTCATTGAGCTTCTTTGGGTATTGATGGGTTCTGAGAACCTCTAAACACTGTTGCTTGGTATTGTACTGAAAATATCTAAATTATAATATTTGGTAAAGTACTAAGAACCTCTACGTTTTATCGTTTGGTAAGGTATTAAGAACCTCTAAATTATAATATTTGGTGAACCTCTAAACTCTGTTCTTTAGGAGTATAGTGAGAACATCTAACCTCTTTTGTTTGGTAGATACTGTGAACCTCTAAACTCTTTTGCTTGGTGGATACTGAGAACCTCTAAACTATTTTGCTTGGTGGATACTGAGAACCTCTAAACTCTTTTGTCTGGTGGATACTGAGAACCTCTAAACTCTTTTGTTTGGTGGATACTGAGAACATCTAAATTATATTGTTTGGTGGATACTGAAAACCTCTAAATTATATTGTTTGGTGGATACTGGGAACACTCTAAATTATATTGTTTGGTGGATACTGGGAACATCTAAATTCTGTTGTTTGGTGGATACTGGGAACATGTAAATTATATTGTTTGGTGGATACTGGGAACATCTAAATTATATTGTTTGGTGGATACTGAGAACCTCTAAACTATTTTGCTTGGTGGATACTGAGAACCTCTAAATTCGGTGGTTTGGTAGATACTGGGAACATCTAAATTATATTATTTGGTGGATACTGAGAACCTCTAAATTATATTGTTTTGTGGATACTGAGAACCTCTAAGTTATATTATTTGGTAGATACTGGGAACATCTAAATTATATTATTTGGTGGATACTGAGAACCTCTAAATTATATTGTTTGGTGGATACTGAAAACCTCTAAAGTATATTGTTTGGTGGATACTGGGAACATCTAGGTTATATTGTTTGGTGGATACCGAGAACCTCTAAATTATGTTGTTTGGTGGATACTGGGAACATCTAGGTTATATTGTTTGGTGGATACTAGGAACATCTAAGTTATTTTGTTTAGTGGATACTTATAATCTCTAACTTCTGTTGTTTGGTGGATACTGGGAACATCTAAACTTAGTTGTTTGGGGGATACTGGCAACACCTAAACTCTTTGTGTATGAATACTGAGAACCTCTAAACTCTGTTGCTTGGTGGATAGTAGGAACATCTGAATTATTTTGTTTAGTGGATACTGATAATCTCTAACTTCTGTTGTTTGGTGGACACTGGGAACATCTATACATTTCTAGTGTATTGAGATCCTCTAAAACTCTGTTGTTTTATCATTCTTCCCCTGTTGCTTAAAGTAAGGTAGGTATATCCATTAAATTCTGTTGTATAAAGTAAGATGCTGATAACCTATAAATTCTATTATATGTAACCTTGAACTGATATTTTTTCAACTCTTTCGTGTGGTAAGGCACTGACAACCTTTAAATTATTGTAAGGTAGCGTAGAGATAAACTTTGTTGTATATATATAGTAAGGCACTGTTGGTACTGCTTACCTTTTAACACGTGCTGTATGTATCAGGTATATATAACTTGTAAACTTTATTAGCTCTAGCAACATACAAATAGCTTTTGAACTCTGTTGTATAAAGTACGATTAGACGTTACATTCTTTGATGTATTAAAGTATCGATAGTCTTTATATTTTCTTGTAAGTAAGGTACTGATAAACTATAAACTCTGTTTGATATAGTAGGGTACTACAGTGCCTTGCAAAAGAATTCTCCCCCCCTCCTCCCTGAAAAGTTTCCACATTTTGTTGCCGTCTAAATTTGCAATCATAAAACTTTCAAATGGGACTTTATATATGGAATCTACACAATCTACTCCAAACTGAGAAAGCTAAAAAATGCTGATATTATGATATTAAGAAAATTAGAATATTCTCAACTGCATAAGTATTCAACCCCTTTGCTACGGCAACTCTAAATCAGTTCAGGTGCAAAAGATTAGTTTGAAAGGTCACGAAATTAATGTAATGGTCTCTGTCTGTGTGTAATCAAAGTGACTTAACTTGACTTCAGAGTAAATGCATCTGTTCAAGCCACAACTGACATAGTGATATGACAAACCAACCATGAAAACCAAGGAGCTTCCCAAACAAGACAGGGATAAAGTGGTATAAAAACACAGATCAAGAGAAGGTTACAAGAAAAATTTCAAAGTTGCTGATTATCCCTTTGAGTCCGGTGAAGTCCATCATTAAAAAGTGGAATGGGCTTTATATCACCCAGTCACTAACCAGATCAAACTGCTCTTCCAAATTATGCAGCCGGGCAAGCAGGAAACTGGTTTGGGATGTCACTGTGAAGCCAATAGTGACTTTGAAAGATTTGCAAAGTTCCATGTCTGAGATGGGAATCAGTGTTCATACTCAACAATATCCTGGTCCCTACACAAAGCTGGCCTGTATGGGAGAGTAGCAAGAAAGAAGCCATTACTGGAAAATAATTATATTAAATCTTGTATGGAGTCTGCGATAAAGCATGTATATGATACTGCAGACATGTGGCAGAAGATTTTGTGGTCAGACAAGACGAAAATTGAGCTTTTTTGGTCAAAATTCAAAGTATTACGTCTGGCGCAAGCCTAACATAGCACATCACCCAGTAAACACCATTCAAAGTGC